AAATTGTTTAGTTTCAAAAAAAATACGTAATTTTTAATTTTTTTTTGTTTCAAGAAAAATTGTACACGAAATATTTTATTCGTGTACAATTTTAAATCTGCCTACAATAATTGTAGTCGGTCCCAAGCCCGGATAAAGAAGGAGAGTTTTAACTTTTATAATTTCTTTAATTTATAATACGCATAAAATGTACAATTTTTTTTAAAAAAATGTAGATTTTACAAAAAAAAAAAATCGAGCTTGCTCGGCCTGAGCTCGGCTCAGCCCACTAAGGCTCGGGCCGAGCCTCATTTTTTTTGGCTGGGCAAGGGTCGGCTAGGCTCGGGCCCAAAAAAACTCGAGCCGAGCCCGAGCTTTTTTTTTCCGGCTCGACTCGTTGACATAGCTAGATCTACACAGCATTTCAGTAAAAATTAAACAATAACATATATATAATTATTTTTCATAAATCTTATTTAATTTTTTTCTCAGTGGATCCAACATGAGCGGTCGACTCGCCGAGTGCTGGATCTGCCCCTGCCTATGACAAAGTCTAAGAATAATTAAACCCCTCGCTCATGCACAACATGACTCAATCCCACGAGGCACAAGAAATCCCTGCTTTACCATGGAAAGCACGATTTCGTTCGGTCACAAGTACAAAGGTCATTGGTATTGTTTCGCTCTGCCTTACTTATCATACTGCCAAGTAGACAAGGGTATAATAAACCTTAAGCCCACCACTGAACAAAGCGAGTCGCATTTGGCCACAAATCACTTGGTCAAGTGTCAATACAATTCTTGGCCAGGACTTGACCAGGGATTGCACAGCTCACCCAAAAGTCTAACCGACAAGCAAAATTATATAAACATTCTTCGAGTTTTATGACAATAACATGAGAAACCTCTCCTCATAACATAAGTTTCTCATTTGATCTTTCTCATCATGCTTCTATATTTGTTTCTTAATTGTATTTTTACATTTAGATTTACATAATAATAATAATAATTTTTTTATTTTAAAAAGTTAAATAACTTTATCTTTTTCAATGAAATGAATTCAACTTAATCATATTTTTATGAATTTTGATTTCTTATTAAAAATGAACAAATTAAAATTCATCTAAAATATATCTAAAATATATTAAATATTGCATCAAATGAGAATTATTTTTTGGACGATTCTAGCCCTACTACAATTCAATTATTTTAATAATACCTTACTTTTCGTTTTTCAATATGTATTTAATTGAATGTTAATTATTATACACGCACATAAACAAATTATTGAATTGTATTAGAAAAATCAAATAAATTCATGAACATGGAATTTAATTAATTTGAATCAATAAATATAGAAAAAGAATCATTTATATACATTTAGACAAAGGGTGTTATATCATAAATTAAATGAATAATATTGAAAATAAATAAGTGTACATAAACTTGAACAATTTATTTACTTCTACAGTAATTGAATAGACCCCAAATTACATGAATTTGAATAATTTATTTACTCATAGAATAATTGAATAGCCCCCAAAATATATAAAGTGTACACGAACTTGAAGACTTGTGTGATATTTAATATAAGTATAAATAAATGTTAGTTACTATACATGCACATACATAAATAATTGAATTTTAGTATTTCTATAATAATAGAATAGCTCTCAAAACATATACAGTGTACATGAAATTGAAGAATTAATTGATATAATTATAGTAAGGTATATATAAATAAATGTTAATTATTATACATGCACGTAAATAAGTAATTGAACTGTATAAAATTTTCATTTAACATGTATAATTTTTTTAACTACTTTTTATACTCACACATCTTCAAATAATATTTTTACAACATTTATAAAATATTTCAGAATAACATGCAACGCACGTTCACATGTGACTAGTATTACTAAAAAGAAACTAAGCTATGTTGAATAAATTGATGCATAATTTATATTCTGCTAATAAAAAATACGAGCATGCAAATACGGATAGAGTACAACTTATCTAAAACATGGTATGTGCATAATAATAAGCAAATCACGACTTACTCAAACGTAAAAAATAGAAGGAGATGAAATGAATCGATGTATGCGAATGCAAATTTTCTTAAGGCGGATTTCGCTACCTACACAGGTGCTAACGTGATCAAATAAGCTTTCGTCTCTCAATATGCAATACTTCTTCCAAAGTTAATGTAACATGTTATTAATTTTGTCGGACGAACCAACGTTTAACTATACTCTTCTAGATAGGAATAATCGAACACAAAATATCGAATGCGAAACTCAAAAATAATTTGGAAGTTATTTTTACAGAATTTAGAGAAATAAAGAATTAGAAATTAATTATCAGGAATTGATTTGGAGTGAAGAAAATAGAATTATGAGGGTTATATTTATAGATTTTCATGTGTCTCTTCGAATGATTGCATCTTTTGGCAAAATTAATTTTAACCATTAAATCGCACAATTTCATATTTAATAGTGTAGATTGCCCCTTTATCAAAAGGTAACGCCCATTCCGAAATAGCATAACTCTTTGATATGCATCCTTTTTAATTGAATACAAGTTGTCACACCAAGTGGAAACTTTTCCAATTCACACCTATAAATATTCCAAAAATGCCAACAAACTCTCACATAAATGGAAGAATTCGACTCAAAATAAGGAAGATGAAGAAGAGTACAACTGAAATATAATGCATCAAGATCGGTATCTTTCGCTTTGAACCTTCCCAGTAAGAATCTACCGGACTTACCGGTTAATCAGTGAACTAAACGTTTTGAACTGTCGACAATTATTGTAAGCTTAGACTATAGATCGAACACATTATCTTTCATATCAAACTTTGTTTTTCTATTGTGTTCATTATTTCGGTCCTGGACTTTCTTAGTTCTGCAAGTGAGCTAGAGAATTTGCCTAATTAAAATCCTCTTAGAACTAGTCAAATTCGCACTCACATAG